TGGCTCTCGATGCAGCCGCGCGAACTTTTCCAATGTTTCTCCCGATGAGTTGGCCGACTTCGGGCTTCCCGAATGCAGCGGCTTTCGCTGGCTGCTCCGCAGTCTTCGCCGGGTGCAGCGCGAGGCGAACGACACCTACGGCGCGCGCAGTTAGGTCGAATGCATATAAAAATGTAAAACATTGATCAAGATAAAGCACTGCTCTTAAGGCGCGCTGAATATTTCATGTCGAAAGTAACACGTATAATAATAGCTCGCAGTCGGCGCTGCTGCGGTCGACACAGGACGGAGCTGGCGAGCAGCAGCTAGCTGCCGTCTGAAAACTTAGCGAAACCGCGCAGGCCGTCGCAACAATTTGTCGACCGTTGCGCAAAATGAAACGTCGCGCTTCTTTTCGCGTGATCCGATGGGCACGCGATAAAGCTGCGGCTTTCATAAGCCAACGGACGCTTTATGCATTTGTGTCGTCAGGTTTATCCGTGCCGTAAAGGCGGCATTTTACGATTCCATTATCGGCAGAGTTGGCTATTCCAACGAGCGTAACTCGCCGCGGGATATTCAAATTCTTTGGCAGGGCCAGTGCGGAGCCCAAGGCTCTTGAAGGGAGTTCAGTGCACCGTCGACGGGCTCGCGTGGCCACCCAATTTTCGCGGCATTATCCCTGCGGCGTATTTATAATATCACACGAGAGGCAGTGGCGGCGGCGGCGCAACTGGTCCCTGAAAAATTCAAGCCCCTTTGACGAGCTGCGGCCCGTGAAAATCCTCCCCTCCTGCTCCCTAGCAAGCGCGCAAGCGAGCGAGCGCTCCATTATCAGATCAACTATAATTAGGCTCGAGAGAGGGAGGGAGAGCTCTCCACACGTGTACTCCGTGCGCGCGCTAATCCGCCGAGAGGCCGCCGCCGCCTCGTTGTGGTGCGGCACGATTATTTCGACTGATTGCCGCTGAGCTCCGCTCGCATTGTGCGCGCGCGTACGAGATTTTTCATTCTCTCTTTTCGTGGCTCGGCGCTCTTCAAAGATCGATCGCGCGCCTTTGTCGTGGCTTTTTCCGAGGCCCACAAAAGCTACGTGCGCCGCGATGACCTTATGCGCAGCTTTGCGGACGATTGCGGCTCAACGCACGCCTCCCGTCGACGTGTCAAAACTTCGGAACGCCGCATACACGCACGCCCGAGTTTTTCTCTTCCCCTGTCGCGTTGGACGTTGCGCGATTTTCCTTTTTCCGGCAATATTTCACATCCCCATGGGAAAACGATGATTCCCGATGCCTGCTCTTGATGGATTTCCGAGCGTACGTGCGCGCGACGCTGCCTAAATCGTAAACAAATACGTTACTCTACAAGGGATTATTATAGATTGAACGTCAAGGCCTCGTCGTGTAATCTTGTAATGAACATATTGATGTCGAAGATTTCAACTCATCGAATCAAATCCAATCTGGACGCAAAAGCTGCAACCAAACTAAAACAAACATTGTCTGTATTTCTATTCTCTGTGGATATAAATGGAGAGCACTGTAACGTTTTTTTTTTATCGTCGTCCGGTTGGATCGCAAAAAGCATAAAGGCAAATAAAAATAATTAAAAAAAAAAAGCGGATCTTGAATGCATAGCAATAGCATATTTCAAACTGAATTGTCGGGACAAATAACAGCGCGGGCAAATGATTTAACGACACGTTTTCCCGTGCGCGAGTGCGAGAACGGCGGAACAAAAAGGACAAAAGAAAAAAAAAGCTCGGGTATCTAGTAAACGACACGACAGTCGAGACTCATCTGCAGCAACACAGACAGAGGTGGTGGCCGTACACAGAGGCTGACAGCCGTCCCTGGACGCGCACGCAGCGTGCGTACGAGCCGCCTGTGCGCGTAGGGTAGACGCGAACGCTCCGGAAATTGCGGTCTACGCCCGACACGCGGGCCGCATGACGAGTTGGCGGATAGGCCAAATAAATAACGCCGCGCTCCGATAATTCGCGACTCTCTGTACTCCCAATGCGATAGACTGTATTAATTCTTGTTGTTTGCTCGCTTCGGGGGAGGGGATAGTAAAAAGCCGTCTGCAGCGTTGCAGATACCGATTCCAATGTTCCGCGCCTTTGACGCCGAGCTATGCCGTTTTTTTTTCTTTTCCTTTCGACTCGAAAGCTGTCCTCTTGGCTCCGATTCATCGGCGACAAAGCATGCGTTCCCCGGAATACATAATTCATAAAGGGACGCTCGAGAGCGCGCTCTCTTCCCGCCGAACGTAATTGAGTGATCTACGCGTTCTCTCACCGCCCGCGAGATTAAAAGCCCATGTATCCTTCGGCATTTCAATAAAGAGGCCGCTCTGCTTATTACATTTTTTACCGAAAAAAATATGGGAGCAGTCGACGGACGGTGTCGCGCGAAAATCTGTCTTCGTAAAAGGCTCTCCGGGAGAAAAGGTAAGAATCAAGGAGTCGTTGTCCAGCTGTGGAGAAAGAGCGAGAGAAAGAGAGAGGCGTCGCAGAGGCGGCGGCCATGGAAACGCGTAGCGTAGCGTTGCGCTCGATAGCAACCAGCGGCGGCCGAGCGGAGAGTCGTCTTCTTCTTTTCCTTGCTTCTCCCCGAACGAAAATTCGGCTCCGTGCCGCGGCTGCTAAACGACGTGTCAACACGCGCGAGGGGAATTCCGGATTCGCTCTGCCGAATTATTATTTCGTAGCCTTACCTTTTGTTTTCTCCTGCCCTCCCGGCAACCCCTCTTTCTTTCCGCGGGTCCTCTTCTGGGGCAAAGGTCTGATGGAATTTCGAGGGACGATGACTTCCATCTTGACGCCACTTACGACATCGATGCATCCGAAGGATGGTCGGCGTGAGTCTGTCTTCTATGGCATCTTTCTCTCTCGGGATGAAGAATGGGGAATAGCGAGCGCGCTACCGGCTATATTGGGAATAAATTGACGCGGATTAACATTTTTTATGCGGGAGAGCGATGAGGGGAGCCCGAAAATGCGGCCGCGCGCCCACGTGAAAAATCGAACGCTGCGAAATGGATGTGCTCCGCCGGGCAAATTCAAGTAGATCATTACATGATTCGATCAGACATAATTAATGGTCGCGCGCGGGAGTCCTTTACGCCAAGTGCACCTCTAAAATATTCAGGTACATTAGTATAGACTCGATTAACTTGAGCGGATTAGCGTTTTGTCGATAATGATAGACGGAGATACGCGGAGAATAATTGTATTCGGACGCGGGGAAGCGCCTGCCTGTCAGTTACACGAGCGGACGTACTTAATTTCTCTTATAGCGCGTGCATCATTGAGCGACGCTATTCAACCCACCGTTTTTTTCTTTCTTTCTTTTCTCCTTTTTTGCCTGATGAAAAATATACGATAGCAGCGGCGCCGAAGCGTAATCGGATCGAGCAGCCGCTCCACGTGTGCGATCACCGAGCGACCGAGCCACACGCAGAGATTTCGCTTTCTCGAGGGCGCGTGTACGAGCGCGTGTGCGAGCGCGAGCAGATAGTGCAGCATGACAAGTACAAACGCGACCGTGCAGCAAGGGGAATCCGACCCCCCCCCCTTTTTTTCTTTTCAATCACATTTCATACTTTTACGAATCCGTCGAAGGGCGAAAATCAAACGTCAGGCGAGGCGTCTTCGTCGGGGCAATAACTCCGACGCTAATCCGGATGATCCGGCTTTTTATCTCGCTGCGAGCGCCAGCACAATGACGCGACGACACGCAATCTCAGGTAAGGGCCTATCCACCCTGCATAAACTTATAGCCTGCCCCGCGGTGCAGCCCCTAATCGACTCTTAATCAAGGTAATGCTTGTTCCGCGGGGCTCGCTCGCGCTCGCTTCGTCGTCTTCGTAGCGGCCCGGCGATAGAACGTCTCTCTCTTTCTCTATCTCTCGTGGCTTTTCTCTCCGACAGCCAGTGCCGTGCCTAATTACCGCCGGCATCGATAATTAATCCGGCTGCCTCAATGGCAATCGACAGTGAATGGCGGCTGAGAGAGAGAGAAAAGATCCTGTCCGGCAAACGAGGGCAGAGGATACGCGCCACCGCGTAACGGCGAATTTTCCTCGGGCTCGCAAGCCGCAAGCGGATGCGCAAGTCCGTTTGCGTTTGGCTCGCTCCTTCTGTCTGCTGTGCGCGTGGAGTGCCGACGCGAATCGTCGCGATGGACTTCCGGAACGCGAGTCGCGTTAAATTTATCGAGTTTCGCGCGAGCAGCGCCAAAGCGCGCTAATCGTCTGACAATTTTAATGACGTTGATCAATGAACTAGAGCATCAACACGGCGCTGCTGCGGTACGATGCGCCTTCGGGTGACATATCGTCACCTTCAAATTAGCGAGAAAAGTTTGCACTTTGTTGCGCCAACAATTATGCTATGTGGCTCGTTCGTGTCCGTGGAATTTATACAAGTCATAGCTTCGTTGGCGAGGCCGACATTTTTACGAAACGCTGCCTAAAAATGTGCAGAGGACAATTATTTACGCTACGGACCACACTCGTTTGGGATACAGTTTTTGTCTAGGAATGGGGGCATCGAAAGCCTCTAATTATGTAAGGCACATCAGATTTTCAACAATGATCTCAAACTACATTCACGACGTTTTCATAACAAAATTAGATTACGTAACTACTAATAAATAGACAGCTTTTCGAAGATGATTGTTGGAGATTTTAATCTCTTAGAGCACGATCGTGAATGAAACTCCTAAATCATTTGCTCGCATACAGATTCAAAGATGCGTAGGAAAAAACTTGTTTATGGATAGTTCATGTCGTTCAGAGTGAAGTTTTCCTAATGACTGTTGCGCCTTCAAAGAATGAAGAAAAAAAGGCAATGATAGACCATTACGCGTCGAAAATCACAGACCACAGAAGCCAGAGCCCCCCCCCCCCCCTTCGCTCATTTCCGCGGACGCAACGTACCGCGCGTATAGAAGCAAGTCGTAGGAAAAAGAGCGAAAGAAGCGTCGTCTGCTGCTGTTGCACGCGGCGGGCAGCATGACATTTCCCATTGTCCCTCGGAAGCTCATTACAGGGTCGCGCGCCAGGCCACTGATGCGCAAAGGCAGAGCGCGACGTCTCACGCGATCGCGCGTCGATCAACTTTACACCAGTCGTCGTTAGTCGCTGGCGACAACTACGAGCTTCTTGCCTTTTGCATCAACCCCACAGCTCGCGTACGCGTTCGTCTACGCTCGGTGTGATCGTATGATTTTATCGTGCCATTGCCGATTTTTGAACAATTGTGGAGCAGAAAGTGCGTGACGGACTTGCCAAGAGACTCCTGGATAGTGTTCGTGAACGTTTACGGAAATCAACTCAGCTACGAGTTATTCTCAAGTTTTTCAACAGTTTGCTCGAAGTACCGAAAGCAAGCATGGCGAAAATGAGCCTCATGAAGAAACTGGGAATCGCGGGTGGCAGCATGTTTGTTCTTAGTATGCTCATGTGGTTTGGTTTTCCAAAATTGTTGGTTTCGATGATTAAGTCGGTAAGAGAATTTATATTAACTTGCAACTAATCAATCGAGTCATTATTTGTATGCGTATCATTTCAACGTAGTATCGTATTACGCAATCAAATACCAACCAACACGTCATTTTTCTTTGTAGAAATATTAAAAATAAAAGCAGTGCACCTACTTTGCTTGTTTATCAACTCATTTTTTTGCGAATTGTAAAAAAATTCATATTTTATTTTATTCAGTTTAATAGTTAATAACAGCTTTTCTAATCACCGAATCAAACAACTCCGCAAAAAATTGTCTCGGCGCAACAATAAATTTACAAAAAAAAAGTTATAGACGTTTCTTTGTAAGTTTCGCGCAACGTACGTGATTGCATTGTAGCTGTTAAACATACGTTACTTCTTTTATGCACTTAGTATCTTATAGACGACAAGTGTAAGAATTGATTCTTTTTAACACCGAAGGCGAAGGTGTCGAAGCTCGACGCTCGAAACAAGCCTATAGACCTGATTTTATATGCATCTTTCAGAGTGCCACTGGCACTCAACGCGTCGCTCCTTGAACTTTTGTTACAAGATTCTATATCGTCCGTCGGATACGCGCAGTGTGCGCGGAAGCAAACCGACGATTGCAATCTGACTGAGGTGAAACTCGCGAAAGCAGCCCGGACAACTGGAGCTTTCATGGGCCGCGCGTAGTCAGAAATGGAGCCAAGTTACTGTTGCCAGCCTGTAAAATGACGCCGATAATGCAACGCGCCTGGCAATTAATGCCCCTTACCGCGAGTCACGAGTGACCTTTGGTCTTTCTTTAGAAATGAAAATCGTCGACTCACTTGAAACGATACAGTTCGCGGCATGCGGGTCGACGGGCATTACACAGCTGGTTTTGGGTGGCCCCGATGCTTTTCACGACTGTTTCCAGAGTGCTGGCCCAGAAAAATACGCGGCCTTTCTCGCAAGCGTGTTGCGCACGATTGGCACGCAATCGATTTTGTAAAGGACGTGCTTCGTTTGGTTTCGCAGCAAGTCAACCTGAAGCCGGGCACGGACGTTCGAGCGCTGTGGAGCAAAATTCCGTTCGCCATTGATTTTCGAGTTTATTTGTACAACGTGACGAACCCGGACGAAGTAAAGGCCGGCGCAAAACCGATTGTCCGACAAGTGGGGCCCTATTACTTCGAGTGAGTTTCTCAAATCGGCGAATGAATGGGAATGAACGCGCGCGGTTTCCGTGAGTCGGGTGCTCATTAGCCGTCTGTGCGTTGCAGGGAGTGGCATGAAAAGGACAATTTGATCGATAGAGACGAGGATGACTCCGTGGAGTACGCCATCAAGAACACGTTTCATTTCAAGGCGGAAAAGAGCGAGGGGCTGACGGGCGAGGAGGAACTGACGTTGCCGCATGTTTTTATCCTGGCCATGGTGATGACGGTGCTGAGGGACAAGCCGACGGCGATGCCCGTGATCAGTGAGTACAGCGGCTCGTCAAAGCCACCGCGATGAAGCGACGCGCTGACAACTGCGCCATTCCTTTCAAGACAAGGCGGTCAACAGCATCTTCAAAAATCCCGAGAATGTCTTCGTCAAAGTCAAAGCCATGGACTTGATGTTCCGAGGTTTGATGGTGGACTGCACGGTGTCGGACTTCGCCGGCGGAGCCGTTTGCGGCATGCTGAAGGAGAATCCCGAAGGGCTCATAGTTTACGACGAGGAGCATTTCGGCTTCGCCTTGCTCGGAGCAGTGAGTCCGCCAAGTAGGTTTCGCCAAGTAGCGACAGGCTGACGAATCGTCGCGTTTGCCGCAGAAAAATGGCACCGCGGCGAAGCAACGAATGAGAGTGCTGCGCGGCCGAAAAAATTTAATGGACATCGGCAGGGTGATCGAGTTCGACGGCAAGAAGAATATCTCCAAGTGGGACGACGACAGGTGCGACGCTTTCAACGGCACCGACAGCTACGTCTTTCATCCGTTTCTGTACGAAAACGAGGACGTCGTGTCCTTCGCCCCGGACCTCTGCCGGAGCCTGGGCGCCTACTTCCAAAAGAAGACCAAGCTCGCTGGCAAGTGAAGCGCGCCAACTTGCCCCGGCGCCGCTCGCGATGGGTTGTAATCGGTGGCACGTGTTTGATTCGAATCGGCAGGACTGAACACCAACCGTTACACGGCGTACTTGGGAGACCCGAGCTCGGACGAAAGCTTAAAATGTAACTGCGAGGCGGCCGACAAGTGTCTGAAGGCAGGAATGATGGACCTCCACAAGTGCCTCGGCGTCCCACTTGTTGCCTCGCATCCGCACTTCTATATGGCGGACGAGTCTTATCTGGCGACGGTCGACGGACTTAGCCCGAAGCAGGTAAGCTTTTTCATTGGCTCGCCTCTGCGCGCTCCGCTCCGTTTAGTCGAGTATTTGGCCTTTACGAGCCTCGTCCAACCAACCAATTTCCGCCCAAGGAGGATCACGAGATATTCCTGGACTTCGAGCCGTTCACCGGCACGCCGATGTTTGCCAAGAAGCGGCTGCAGTTCAACATACCCATCACCAAGGTGGACAAGTTCAAAATCATGAAGAACTTCCCGGACGCCATGCTGCCGCTGTTCTGGGTGGAAGAGGGCGTGCTGCTGCCCGACGAGTTGATAGCTCAAGTGAAGATGATCCACACCATGCTCACCGTCGTAGCGTGAGTATTTATTGGTTTCTTTTTGGCGCGATGCCTTCGCGCTCGGCACGGCTATTGCCGACTGGGAAACGAGGCGCCGCATCACGGGCGTTACGCGAGCAATGTTACAGCGTGATGAAATGGCTGATGCTGCTGGCCGGCCTGGGAATGGGAGGCGGCGCTGGATTCCTCTACTACAAAGCCACTCAGGGCAGCGATAAACTTGAAATAACAAAGGTGCCCAAGGACAACGGTAAGCCCGGCAGCACCGAGAAGAAAATATCACCGCTCAACGTCAATACTCTGCAAGCTCGAGTGCCACCCGTTCTCGACTGAACGCAGCCGAATACTCGTCCGCGGCGCAATTCTCCCTCGATATACATACAAACTAACTGACATTACGAATCAACTATTTTTTCTTTCTTTCTTTTTTTTAGTCGTAAGATTTGAGAGGTAAGATAACACAGGGGATTCCGAAGAACATAGCTACTGTTGCCACGTAAGAACCGATAGAGAGAATGGTTTAATGAAACATAATGAAGAATAAGATAATAAATAATGGGAAAAACCCGAAATGAACGGAACGCGAGCGGAACTGTCTGGAAGAATAGTCATTACGATGCGCGATTCGTTAATAATTCACATGCTCAACAATCGAAAGGCTATTTGAACACGTGCATTATCCCACATCTCCTGGATTATAATGTGTAGATAGTATTAGTGCTGTATCTTTAGCACGGCGTTCTCAAGGTCAAGGGCAATGCTATTTCAGTATTCGCTTGGACAACTTGTTACATAAAACCAGCAACGCCAAGAGATATTTATAAATTGTCTTGCACGGATGTCTGCATAGGTTGACGGGGCACAACGTTTGCAAACAGCTATTTTTCTATCTTTTCGTATATTTTACTCAATTTCAAGGAGGCGCTCGCTCGTGACAAGACTAAAGCTCGTTCAAAGCGCAGTCTTGTCCGAAACCATTAGATTTTAGGAGTTGTGGTGCTTTCACTTAATCTATCACCGTTCACGTTATCTGTATGCATATACCAAATCAATAGAGCTTTATTGAAAATTTATTTTTAGAAACTGTACGCTCGACTGCGAGCGTGCACACTCGAGTCTCTAGTCTTAAGCAAATTTTCCTGTATAAAATTATTCTTGTACACAAGTTTTTCACAAATAAACGAATTTCTTTAAGAGCCTCGGCGTTACTCCGACCATACAATTGATAGAGTCGGGCCCGCGCAAATAACGCGTGGAAAGAAATCGGCACACAGCTGGAAGGAAGGGCGCGAGGGCCATCGTGAATAATGAAATAATTAGCGTGAAGTGACGACGACGGCGAGCGCGAGCGAAGTCGAGAGCTGCCGAGGGTAAAAAATCAAGGGACAGGTGACAAGTACACGCGATGAGCGACATCAAAGCCAAGCGCTGGCGCGTTTTTCTCTCCCCCCCCCCCCCCCCCTCTCACTCTTTCTGCACGCGCCCCGGCGACCTTTTAAAGGGAAAGCTGATTTAGGGTTGCCGCTTCGCGGAGCAAATGTAGCGCATAATTTAAAGAGCGACAGATGTTCGGTTCGCGCGTGCGCGAGCGACGATAAATGCCATCGACGGATCGCCTCATTGATCTGCGACCGCGGCGCCACGGGCACTCTCGGCGCTCTCCGCGAGGACCCGCACTTTTATCGCTTAATCACTTGAAAGCGCGCGCTGCGCCGATAGCACTCGGCACTTGCCATCTGCTCGCCGCTTCGACTTTTCGAAAAGCGTCGCGCGCCGTGGCACGCTGCGCCGCTGCGTGCTTTCGCGGCGCACAAACGGCTTTTACGTCGCGCGCGATTCGCTCGAACGTCGATGTAAATCATTCTTTATCGAGGCCTAGTGCCAGAAGCGCACGTGACTTGCACGCCGCTCCGCTGCGATGAATGTTGGCCGGTAACGTCACTTACTCTAATGGTTTTCAGCGCTTATCTACCTCGGGATTACCTTCGAATTAGCCGTTTTGACGAGCGAATTTTATTACTTGCAGGCGTTATTAAAGTGTCGCGTGGTGACTGAGCGAGTTTACCTTGATGGATTTTCTGTAGAAATTATTTTCGTAATGCGTGCATATCGGTCGCCGGATCAGGCATCACAAGCATTATTGACAAGGCGAATGTAACGAAATTAGTATCGCGTTCCAATTATTCCACTGTAACTGACAACAAAATTGTTAAATAATATATGTATGTCGATTTTTCCAACGCAATTTTGGTTCAATTGAAACACGTTCAAAGTATTCTACAACGGCTACCAATCATCTTTCAAAAAAAATTTCTAGAAATAATGAAGAACTACCGTTAAAAATCTTTGGTTTTATAACCATATGTGGCGGCTGAGATTCCCACTGGAGTTGTATGTGCGCGCTCCCGCAAGACGAGGTGGCCGAGTGGTTAAGGCGTTGGACTGCTAATCCAATGTGCTCTGCACGCGTGGGTTCGAATCCCATCCTCGTCGAAAATTTTTTTTTCTTTTTCGAACTTCGGTCGTTCATCATTAACCCTACGCCATGAATTCGCGAATATTAATCGTTTAAACAATGTTATACTCACGTTGATGAATATAAGATAAGCCTTCGCATCGGATTGGTTGTAACAAACTTGATAAAGTACAAAAATTGACTCAATTGATTTCTGTTTCATCGACTTAATGTGAATTATTAACACTGCAAAATTAAAGTTGTCATTTGTCGGGAAATTTATGACACGCTTGTTCCTTTATTTGATTCAAGATCGACGATTGGTTCGAACGTAAATATTAATTGCATTAGCTGGGACAAGTGAAAAATGTGATGGCTTAATTTAATGGTTTATCGTCGAGCGAAATCGTAATATACATTGTATCAATTAATGTCGGCATAGGGCATAACGATGATGGAATGGTCCGCTTGTCGCAAAAGCACGATCGCTCAGCCATAACAGCAATCGCGTCTCTAATTCAAGAATAACATTGGTTGACCTCTCGATCGGGGCACGCAAATAGAGAGTAGTGCCACGTGTATATACTCGGTCCCGTCATCGCGCTGTCGAATCGAAGATCAGCAGTGTAAACCTCGAGGAAAGTGCGCTCGTCTGCGCAGTCCAGATGGATTGTTTATTTGAGCTCTCTCGCTCAATCAACGTTGTACGCGCGACGAGAGTTTCAAGAGTCTTTGTTAGTCGCGGCGCCCACCCCTCCCCTGCAGTTCGTTGCACTGCACGAGAGCGTGACCGAGTTGGCCGCCGCCAGGACTGACGCTTGCCGCAGTGTCGTCGACCTTCGACGACGACGACGACGACAACGACGACGACGAGCTGCCAAAAATCCTTCTCTCAACGAAACAATCGAGAGAACGATCGATGGACCGCGGCGGATGCGTCACCTCCGAAACTCGGCGCTCGTATCGTGGAGCGATTCCGCCTGGCGTGGCAGGTCGTGCGACGCGCAATCGAAGGAAACGAGAGGCGAATTCTCGGCCGAAAGCCCGAAAAAATGGCAAGCTCGCGCTTACGAACGCAGAAAGAAGTCGATGCTGCGCGCAGGCGAGAGAGAGAGTCGAGGGCGTAATTCGGTTCACGCACGGCCAAGCCCCAGTCACGTAGCAGCTCTACGAGAAATAAGTCAGGCCGCTTCCCTTTCAGCGGCGTAAGTAGGAAACGAAGGGTCGCCCAGGGTGTCCTTTTGCGCCGAAAAAAAATTAAGGGGCGAAAGCTCCAGCCTACATTCTCGGCTCCGCTTCTCTCCTCGTGGGACTTGGCGCGCTCGCTCTCTCATGTATATTCCGCTCGCACGGCAGTACCCTGTGTGCGTCCGCAAAAATCTTAATAACGCGAATTTTTTCACGCGCTCGATTTCGATCCGCCACTCCGGGCCCGGTTAATTAAAGCGATCTTGGACAGTGTCGCGCGCCTCGGCGCTTGACACGCCTTTAATTATTCGCAGAGCCTTGGCGTTTGATTAAAATTGTCTGGCTGAGGCCGACTGTCGAAAACGAGCGGGGAGGGGTGCCGAAATCACGCCGTCGTGCATTATTTGTTCGCTCGACGCCCCATTGACTGCGCATTATGCCGCGATTATTCGCGATCGCGTCGTCGTCGACAAAAGCAGCCAAAGAGAGCGAGAATTTCGAAACGAACGATCGCCGGAAAATTAATTTGTATCGCAGTGGCATTCTCGGCGCGCGCATTGTCGGATTTTCCACGCGTATTATGCAAACGCGCATTCACGGACAAGTTTGTTTGGTGGCATCGTGCGTTGAATTACCACGAGGTAGAAAAAAAAAATGAGCACGCGAAAAGCGAGCGGACTCTCGCAAAGTTCTCGCGGCTGACAATGGCAGCCAGTTAGCAAGTAGGCAGCGGTGCGGCGCGTCAAAGGCGCGATGCTCGAGAATGCGCACTGGGGCGAGCGCACAATTGCCTCGTGAAAAGAGTGCCCTCGACGATTATTGCGCGGTTAATGAGGGAGCGCTTAATTGACTGGTTTGGCACTCGTCGTGCCCGTAGGCGCGCGTTATTGCACCGCGTCCCTCGTAGAAAGTTGGTCGTTTGGTTATACTCGGGCGACGCGATCGCGGAGTTTCGTACGCTGGCGTGCGACGCGGCGATAAACATTGGCTTTGAATTGATCCGAAAAGCCGCGTCGGTGGCGGCGGCTCGGCCGAGCTGCATTTAATTTCGGCTAAGTATGATCCATCGAAAAATACGGCGCCGGCAGCACCTGCAATCGGACCGGCGGCGCCGCCAATAAGCCAGTCGCGGAACGGCCGAGCAATCTTTAATTAAGCGGATAAGCGCGCGGCCAGCGGTAATTGGCCGCGGCCGGAGCGCGCCGGGCGCACTCGGCCACACACACAGGCCTCGTAAATTCTCGCCTTGTCGAGAGAGGCGCCGTGCCCCGCGCGCCTGTAATACATACTGCCCGACAAATTTAACGCCGGATGATCCTGCGTACCAAGTGTCGGATTTGCGCCGTCTCTAATTAATGGCAATTGGTCCGGCCGCCGACGCTCCCCGCCCCCTCCTCCCGGGCTCTTTCTCCGTGATCAGTCCGGTCGTCACGGCATCGAGATACATTTTTCCGCGCCCTCGCCGAGCGCCAAGACGATAATAGAATTTCCGTGTAATCCTTGGACTCGACTCCCTCGACGGAGCTGCCCGTGCCACGCGACTGCGAGAAAGTCTGCGGGGACGCGAGAATAGGCTGGTAGATCCCCCGGGGGTTAATTGGCCGCGCGTTTTGACGCGAGCGCGCGCGGAAACGTATCCTCGTTCTTTTTCACTTCCGATGAAACGAGCGAGCGAGAGACCGAGGGTCCGAGGGCGGGAGAGCGACGCGGAAGTTGGAAATCCACAGTGGCAGGCTGGAGAGGGCATTTCGCGAAACGAGAGTCGTCGTGTATGCTTCGGACAAAGACCCTCTCGACGTACGTGCCGGCGAGGAGAGAGAACAAGCGTTCGCATAGCGTCACGCGTCGAGAGAGAGAGAAACAGGAGCTCTAGACGCGTGGAGTAGCCTTGTTTTGAGGCACTTCGAGGCACGACTGTACGGCATATGATTTCGCGCGAAAGAGACTTCTCTCGCGCGACGACCGAGATCGATCCTCGGGCGCGCGGTCCGCCGCACCACGCCGCACCACGCCGCACCACGCCACGACACCCCCACCCTGCGCCACATAAGCAAGACCGATTGTTCTTATTTTTTGCATTTGTCCTGGGCGCCTCTCGTCGGCTGACGCTGCCGGCGCTCGAGGCGCGAGCGCTATATCGATCATTGCCGCAGTGCGGTGCGCCCATCGCCGCGAATCCGTCTGGCTCGCACAAGTCGAACAACCATAAAATTTAATTGTGATCGGCGGCCATCGATAATTAATGGGCAACGCGAGCGTCGGATCGGCGATAACGTTCGTGCGCATCGAGCGGGCACCGACTAAAATCGATACAGGCGCTCTGAAATTAGCGAAACAATGGCGTTCGGCGAAAATTGATGGCTGGCTAACGAGCGTTAAAATTGATTGTAGCAAAATCATGATAATGATCGGCAGCGTGTCTGCCGTCATGTCGACGGCGTATTAGCCGTCAGGCGCGGCGTTTGTTATCGGCGAACAACGCATCACAATGGTATTCGGCTGGGCGATGCGCACCTGTATCGATTGCGCGTGTGCATCGCCTGAA